TCTACTAACCCTCTATTTATAGAAAAACCCTAAAAGTGCCCCGAAAGGGTCCCGCCGGGTCCGGAAAAGTGAAATTTGAGCAGACGCGCTCAAACGGAAAAACTCTGTGAACAAAAAGGAACCAAAATGAGAAAATATGAACAACAAAAGAAACGACGTTGAAAACCAAGTCTCGAGCAGAGAGATATGCCCCAAACAAGTTTGGCGGTAATTGGGGTCAGAAATCCTAAAACTGGAGAAAAACAACCAGGAAGAAATTCTAAGAGTATCCGACTCGACAAAAAGTGATAATGAATCCTGTATGAGGATCCAGGCTCAAAATAAGGCATTTAGCAATAACTTTCATTAATTGCACAATGACCCCTCCAAAAAGTAAAAACTGCACAACTAGCCTAGAATGAAAATATCTTCCAAAAATATTTTCTTAGAAACCCCTGAACTAAAATATCTTCAAAAGATATTTATGAAAAACACCCCAAGAAATAAGAATATTTCTGAAGAACTATGCATCCATGCCCCTACGGACACCGGGAGCAACCAGAGTACTTTTGTGTAAAAGTAAAGATATGTATTTCGTGGAAACCACTTAGAATGAAGATACGTGAAGTCGAAAATCAACTCCGAGCACAAAAAGTGAAGTTGTGCCAAAAAGTGACAAATGAGGAAAAGACAAAATAAGGAAAAGGACGAAAAGTGATAGTGTCCGAAAAATGAAAATGTGGAAAGGACCCAGTCTTCAAAGAAAGTTGTCAATCTAAAGAAAAGAGTCTCAAAAACCATTTCAGAGCACTCGAGATGACACTAAGTGACAAGAAACTCAACCCAGAAAGGAAAAGATTAACGGAAAAAAAGTATTCGTGAAAATCTGAGAAAAAGGAAAGGAAAAAAAATGACCGGGTCATTACAACCTTCCCACCTTAAAGGGATTTCGTCCTCGAAATCTAGCCCCAATAAAACAAAAGGTGAAACCAGGATAACTACAGTGTACATCTTTGAGTATTCCACACAATATGCTACAAAAACAATCCCAAACTGAAGGACAACGTACAAACCAATGTCATTCGCACCTACATGCTCATGACAGGATAACCTCTCAAAAGAAAAGTGAGAGGTTCACACAATAAGTCCAAACTCACACACAGAACCCAAGGTCAGACAAAGGAATGAGAGACAGCAACCGTAAACGTCCCTCCTAACGAACCATCAAATGGATCTGAAAACAACCACCGAAAGAACTCCAAGATATCTACGTATCAAATCAAGGTACTGAACAAAGACAACGTGGCGGTACGAATAGCGACCAGAACCAGCCCATGATGTACTCAAATGTGTGGTAGCAATGATAGTGTCTAGTGCCCGCCCACAGTTACTCGTCAGTAAGGTAGCATCGACGGCAATTTGCACTCGCCGACCATACACAACTTTGTACGGTAGCGTGACAATATAAGGCGCAAGTTCGTAACCTCCCCCCACTAGGTCTACCCATGAAACCTCTCGATACAAATGACATCAATGTCGCAAAACGATCATGACCAAAAGCAATGTAGCAATTAGGCATCTGTGAAAGTTGGAATATGGTCCAAAGACGTTCCAGACCATCCCGGCTAATCCCAAACTCTAACAACAATGTCATAGGCACCATTATGCTTAAGGCCCTAAATCCTCAATACAGCAAAACCAACATCTCTAGTGTCTCAAAATACTTCTATTAACAACATCAATCAAGAATCCAAAGCCTGAAAAGCAAATTGAAGCCTCCAGAAATCAAAATGAACCTCACTACAAGACATTTCATCGAAAGTCCAACATATCTCCCTAAAATAGATTACCCATAAGATTACACCGTAATTAAACATCAGATCCATATCCCTATTGTGGATAACTAAATCCTCGAAATACAAGTCCACCAACTGGCACACACATCAAAATCCTGACAACTAAGGTCACAAAACGAATCTCTCGAAACCGTGCTTAGTAACACCAAGAAAAATCAAAATTCCTCAATTTCGATCCATAAACAATCAATGGAACTACGATTCCTCAAAACTATGCCTAGTCATAACTAAGACGAGAAAACTCTACAAATAAGCCATATCCAACAACGATCCTCCAAAACTCTTCCTAAGAGTTAACCACATTCAGGTTTCTAAAACGGAAACAAGTCTCCAAAAGACATCCCTAAATAGTGTCAAGCTCATACAACGAATCAAACAAATCCTTAATTAAATGGACGCAAGTCCCCGTAAAATGATCTCACACCAATCCACTCACTCTGAGCACCTCAATTCTGTCAACAACCATGGCAAAAACTTCCCAAGGGAAGACATGAAGGAAAGGAACCACTAGTCTTAAGAAATGAAAGACAACAATGTCAAAGACTTCGCCCCCTACATGGGAGTAAGTTGACCAAAATCTATCAAATCCTCACCAAGGACTTAAGACAACAATGGTGATCCTCATGGACTAGCCAACCCTAAAGCTATGCACAATGCAACGAAGAGAAGAGACTCACTCCTTATGAAGTCCTTTACTCGGACCAAGAAAATAGGGGAATTCCTCTACAAGGAATTTCACAACGAAACCATTGCAGGAACCGGCACACAAACAACGTGCGACCGAAGGAAACAAAAGGGAAAAACAAGTATGGAAGTCATGCATATGATAAGGAATGCAACTACCAAATAAATGAATTTACTCACATAGATAAAATCAAAGGTACATGCGGTATGTCTCCACGTAAGCACGAAATCATGTCACTAAAACGCAGTGACAACATGGCATCTCTAAGCATATAAAGAAAGCATGCTAATGCCACACAACAAGAAAGCAAATGTGGACACACTTCCACCTACTCATGCATTGCAATATCATAAATCATACTACTAATATGGTAGTAAACGAAACTGCAGAAGATAAAAGTAATGCAATAGTGAACCCTATGGACATCGTGTCCTAGAGTGTCTAGGTAAAAGGAAAGACCAGTCCTAACCATAAACTGACTCCAAAACTAATGCAACAACCACCTGTCTCAAAACAAACGTGAGCCCTTACCACAATGGTAAGATTCTAACAATCCACCTCCGAATCTAAAGGTAACACTACAAGTGACACTAACAGTGCAATGCTCTCTTTACCCAAAACTTTAATTAATCAACTTGATTCCAAAAGCTCCTCACGCAAGGAGAACTCAAAGAAAATGACAACTATAGCCATACCAACAACAGCCAAATCAATCACTAGGACTGATCCCCAAAACAATCATCATCATCATCGATCAAAAGGGCTACACCTATCAAAACAAAACCAACATTGATTCCATCCGAATTGCACTTGTAGCTAGCCAGTACGGTAGCATGACAGTGCCAAACACCCGCCCACAAATGTACCCGCCCACGAAAATCATAATCCCAGAGGAATCATCCCAAACAACCAAGGATCCTAAGAGGTCCATAACCTCATCATGGCCCAAAACCAACAAATCCAGTACTACGGCAACGTCAAATGACTCACCTCATGAGAGCCTAAACAAAAGATGTCTCACTACCTACCTCAAAACCAATACTAGGTCGATAATAACCTATGCTACCACGAAACTGTGACTACAATCACCAACAACCTCAACTCATGCCTTAATGACCAATCCCGTGTCATGCCAAATATGCACTAGAGCCACGCATATACAAATCTAATCTATCATACATCATATGTCATGTTCTTTACATTAGAATAAAGTCATGCTAAACAACGGCATACCACATATAGCACATAAGCACATAAACATGTTATTAGGAAGCATATAAACACATAAAGCATGGCAACACAAGCATGATATGCACCCAAAACCCATTTTCCTATGGTTCTCAAACCTAAGAGCTTTGATACAACTTGTGACGACCCAAGTTTTTCAACCTTGTGTGTCAGCGATGACTCGAAAGTTGACCTGATAACAGATCCGAAATGCGGATGCAAAAGATGAAACCATAGTCCTTTGAAACATAAATTATCTCTAAGACATCAATGTAACATTCCATGAAGTCACGAAACTCAAGAAAAATGAATGAGCAAACGAGAGTTAAAACGGGCCAAATCTATTAACAAAAGGGTAAAATGGTTAATTCACAAATAAAAAGAGAAACTTGACTCTAAACAAGTCAAACAAGGTGAATACAACCTAATCTAGTCATTTCACAATATTTCAAGAGGTTCCAAGAACATTGGCCAAGAATCCCACGAAATGCCCTTTTCCGGTTTAAGTGAAAACTGACACTACCTCACTAAAACATGAATAACTCCCATTATGATTTGAATCTGAGAATGGAATTAGTACCATTGGAAATCTTACTCAAAATCCATGAATGTAGGCTCAATAATGACCCCATTTGGATTAGAAATGAAGGAGATATGACCGTTTGAAGTTGGAACAATAGTGCTGAAATAAAACTAAAAGGCAGCTGAATGAGGGCAATTTTGGTCGACTGAACAGGAGTTTCGGACGACCGAACTGGCACAATTTGTTCGGACGACCGAACTGGACAAAAATTGTGCTAAAAACATGTTTTTAAGTAGAGGTTGTTTCAGTAAACCGAAATAGGCCATAGGTCGACCGAAATAGGCCATCAGTCGACCGAAATGGTCCTAAACAGTGAAAAAGACTACTGGAAATGAGTTTTTACTGTGCAATGAGTTTCCCAAAAGCCATCGGTCAACTGAACCAACATTTTGGATGACCAAAATGACTCAAAAAGCTGCTGGAAAACCTGCTACATGCCAAAAACATTGAGGTTTAACCCAAGCCTCAAAGCTCATGATGATTTAGTTCAAAAACAAAGGTTTTAAGCTATATAAGCATGCCAACATGTGTACTTTACACATTAAAATGTATTACAATAGCCTACGGCCTCATTACATAACTCTTATTCCAATTCACATGCCAAACCTCCAAGTTAGAAAAATTATATTTCAAAGGCAAAACTTAGAATTTAAATGCTTGCACTTGAACGTTGAAGTTTATGGCCCTTAGCCTCATGTCATACATATCAATTAGGTTCCAAATAGTGTATCCAAGTACACTTTACATGTTATAAGGAAAAAATAACATAATTGAACTTAACTAAATATTACAACATTAAAAGTGAAACTTAAACATGCTAACACTTGCATGTGAACAAGAATGCTTTAAAAGAAACTTCAAATCTCCAAATCCCCCAAGGAAGTGCAAATTTCCGAATCTTGAATCATGTACCTGAACAATACCCCCAGTAACTTCGGGGTGAGTAAATAAGTTTACTCATAGGGAATGAACATGCATCGACTTGATTTCTTATAGATTTTTACATTAACATGAAACAATTCAAAAGGGTCATGCCACTTAATGTCTATGTGAAAGGTGAGACTCAGGGAGCATCCTAAGCTACCTTAGAACATTTCTAGCATAAATCATGTCATTCATGCAATTTCAACAACATAAGTTCATACTATATAAAGCAACAAGATATAGATTCTCAAAGTCATCAACTTGAAATCTAAAATATAATAACAACTAAATATAGCAATTTAGCATAATTAGAGTCTCTAATACCACACATCAAGACATAAATTCTCAAAGTTAACAACTTGAAATCTAAAAGTGTGAAAACAACTAAATATAGCAATTTAGTATAAATGTACTTAACAACATAAAAAACATGCGATGATTCCTTAAAATTCGTAATGCACAAATGTACTTAACAACATTAAATCGCCAATAGCCAAAACCATTAGTGACAATTTAACATGATTGTCAACTTGGAATTGAATTAGAAATCAAATATTGGAAGACTTGGACATCAAGCTCGAAATTCTGCCGAGACCTTAATGGTTATTCCGGGCATTAACCCGCTAGGAAGACCACCATAGTGCGCACTTTCTCAATTGGGGAGAACTCATACCTCCCGCACTAGAGTCAAACTCTAGCCATATCTCAGTAACAATGTTCCAAGTAACTCCAAAATACTCGAATAAGTTCAAAACTTACACGTAATTTATATAATGCACGAAATCACCTTTCATGTATAAGTAGGTTGAAACCACACAATCCATGCCTTAGAGTTTCAATTCTAAAATGGCATATATAATATCAAATACAAAGTGTGCAATTCATTACACAAGACAACAATATATTCCTTAAAGCAAACAAATTCTCATGAATATAAATATAACAACAATGTTATCCAATGCTCAAAACACAACTATGTGAACACACAACAAGTCCAAATCCATGATTTATATATAGAAACAACTTCTAAAACATAATTAAATCCATGGAACAATTAGATAGAATTTAATTAAACAAAAATAATTAAATTCCTTATATTTCAAATCAATTCCAAATAACCTTAAATTAATATATGTTAAATAACATAGCATGCTCACTACATATATGAAATTAAATGTGTAAAATGAGCAAGATACCATCATGTAGAATTTAATTAATTTAAATTAGTTAAATCTCTAGATTTCAAAAGTTACTCAAATGATCCCAAATTAATATATAACAAGCATTATATCATGATCATACCATATATTAAGTCTAAAATGGAATACAAGCAAGGTGCCATTAAGTAGAATTTAAATAAATTTAAATTAATTTCAAGAACTTGAACAAAAACATGCATACAAGTTGTATAAGCATCAATAGCATGCAAGACAACAAAAATATAAACTATAACACCCCTACCTCCATTTGAGATGAAATCTCAAATCCCCACCAAAATAAAACGGCTCCGAATCGGGCGAAACTTCTAGGTTTTGTCGGGGACAATACGGTAAACATAAAACTCCAAAGAGGACATACCAAAATCCTAACTTGGCCTCAAACCTGAACTCAAAATATGACCAAAAACGAATTCTAATAAGGTGGAAAGATGCGCGTTGTCAAGATAAGCATTAAACATAAATGTATTACACCTTTTTACTAAAGGGAAGTGGCCGGAAAAGAAGAAAGAAGGGTGGAAGCCCCTTAGCTGCCATGGTTACCGGCCAAGAGAGAGGAGAGAAAAGGAAAAATCTGACTTTTCATCTACAAACCCTCTATTTATAGAAAAACCCCAAAAGTGCCCCGGAAGGGCCCCGCCGGGTCCGGAAAAGTGGAATTTTAGCAAACGCGCTCAAACGGAAAAACTCTGTGAACAAAAAAGAACCGAAATGAGAAAATATGAACAACAGAAGAAACGGTGTCAAAAACTGAGTCCCGAACAGAGAGATATGCCCCAAACAAGTTTATCAGTAATTGGGGTCAGAAACCCTGAAACTGGATAAAAACAACCAGAAGGAAATTCTAAAAGTATCCGACTCGACGAAAAGTGATAAAGAATCCTATACGAGGATCCAGGCTCAAAATGTAATACCTCTAGTTTTCAAAAAGATAAAATGGGAATTTAATTATGATTTTATGTGAACTTGTGTTTAAATCAGGTGACTTGATTAATTAGGAATTTGTTTTATGTGCAATGGCTTAATTGATTATTTGTGTGTATTTAAATTAATTGTTAATTAGAAATTATTTTAATTTAATTGTTATTGTTTTAATTTAATTGTTTATGTGTTTGGAATGATTTAGTTAATTATATTTATTTAGTTGTTTTCCTTTGTTTACTTGTTTTAAATGTCATTAACTAATTATTTATTTAATTGTAATTACAGATATACTTAATTGTAATGAACGCAACTGTTTGGTCATCTATTAATACAGTGGTTGCATACACTTAAGTTTAGGGTTTTAGTTTATGTAATTAGGTTAGCCGATATATAAGTAGGCTGAAATTAGGATTAGGGTTCTTATAGGAGCCTATATATATAGAATAATGTATGTCTGCAAGGATTTGAGAAACACTATTCACGTATTATCTGGAAAGGGGAAAACAGAGGCTCTGGAATGGTTTTGAGAATAAACAGAGAGAGTCTTGGGAGATTAATAAAGGGAATTGCTTGTGGGTTGAGCCAAGGAGCAACCTAGGTTGAGAGCAGTGGACAGAGGAGGAAGGAATGGTCTTGGAGTTGTCGGATTATAGAGACGACGTTTTAAGGTTTCAAATCGAAAACTAAAGGCAAGTTTCATTCTATCTCCTTCCTGTAAACTTGTATTTTGTGCATTCTATATAGTCTCCAAGAAGTTAATTAAACTTTAAAACGAAATTTTGATGCATGGTAACAGACTTTATACTGTTCGTATGTTTAAGTGAACTGAAATTGTGTTCCTAGCATAAACTGTGTTATTCAGTTTTAAATTTTTTTCAAGCAATGCTTGTTGATATTTGGGGAGTCTTTAGGATGGTTGGGACTTAATTGAACCCTAAGAACTTTAAAAAAATTCTGGAGTAGAGGGTTGAACTTTGCCGGAAGTGGAGAAGGCAAACAGAGGAAGCATAAATGTTTCGATTATGGTTTATGTTTTTGTCAATTAATTCATACTGGAATTGGAGAAGTTTCTAGGATTATTAGGACTTAAATTGAACCTTAAAAAAAATTTAATAAAAGTAGGACAGAGGACTGAGGCTTTGTCGGAAGCGGAGAAGGCAAACAGAGGAAACGGATGAGGAAAAATGGAAGCTGAGAGAGTGGAGGAGGCTCCACCCTTTAATGGAGCCGGCTCCATTGAAGTGGAGCAGGCTCCACACTCTTGTGGAGGCGGCTCCAAGAGGGTAGAGTAGGCTCCATACTTTTGTGGAGTGGGTTCCTCTTTTGTAAATACACAGTAATTGTATTTCTTTGACGTTTTTGAGATTTCAGGGCTCCAGTGTTGTTTTAAACTTGGTTGGATGGTTTTAAATGTTGTAATTAAGTAGGATAAAACCCAAGAATGATTAATTCATGCTAGGAACTTGATCAACATGAGATTTAAAGTTAAATTTGCATGCCGTTTATGGCTTGGAAGAATTTAAATGGCTTGTTGTAATGTTTAAGCAAATTTAATGGAGGGGTTTCAAAATGATTTTTATAACATTATTCAGTCCCAGGAATGTTGGTTTCTACTGTAGTTATAGAGATCATTAAATTTAGATACTAAATTGTATGCTGTCAGGAGTAGTGGAAGTTGAAATTGCTAGTCTCGCTTTAGTAAACTATATGGACTAGTATGTAGGTGGTTATGGCATTCAATTATAATGTGTTCAATTTATACTTCCGTGTTTCAATATATTATGCTCGGGAATTATATTTGAGGATTAAATGGCGTTATGAAATTTGAATTTTTAATTTGCATGACGTCGAGGATTGATGAGGATTTAAATTGCTAGGTTTGCTTTAGCAACGTACATGGACTAATGTGGTTGTATTTTTGGCATTCTAGTATAATGTATTCAGTTTCAATTCTGTTTAGCATTATATCGTGCAATGGATGTTAATTGATGAACTGTTAAAATTTTTGTTCCGTCAATTTTATGGATATGGTTGATTTAAATTGTTTGATATGCTTTAGCAATTTAAATGGAGGATATATGAATTGTAATCATATACTGGATGCATAAGGAAATCTTGCATATATCTGATTTCTATTATATGGTTTATAGATGGATTTGATGTTCAAATGAATAAGTATCACTTTTGGATCATATGCATTATATGCACCGGTATGGGATGGTGGTATATCAGGGACGGATTAGATCAAAACGCTAAATCCTACCTGTTCATACATATGGAATGGATTAACTAAAACAGTTAAATCCTACATGGGTGCATGTCCTGTCAACTAAAACAGTTGAACGACATAACGGATGGTTGTTTTATTTTTCTGTATTAGGAAGAATTTATATATATACCTATGGTACCGTGATATGAGCTTGAGTCTCTTGATTACGGTTAGGGTGCGTATATCGCCTAGTATTGATAAGCAGGCCTGATGATGTTTCCCTGGTTGTTCTACTCGGGTTGAGATGGATTATGTGGGCTGGTGAGTGTCCTATAGTTTGTACTTATATCTATATGGACTACTTTAGCTATTGTTGAGCTATCTAGGATGTATCAGCGTATCGGGTTTATGTATGGATTGTGGTAGTATGGAACTTGCATATGGGCCTGACCCACTCTTATTTTTTAGGTGATCGTTAGTACCAGGCTTAGAGCTTGATCGTGGTGATGCAGATACAGTCATTCACTCTTCCAATTATATAGGATTTTCTTTCTTATTTTATTTTTGGATTTTGATTCTGTAAATTTATTTATCGTTTGGGATTATTAGGGGTCCACTAGATGGATTCCCGAGTTGTA